AAGGCGAGTCCTACACAGTAAGGTGAAAGGCAAATACATTTCACTGTGTTATCGAGTTGCTGGTGATTGAAAAAAGTAGCTTGAGATATTTTTAGAGCAAACCTTTTTTTTAATCCTAATCGTTAACATTGTTAGCTCAATGTTAGCCTTCTTTATCAAATATTAGAGTGAACTAAAAGGATGCTGTGGGCTCTTACCCCGGGTTTCCACGGGAGCCGTCAGCAGCATGTTACTGCAGCAGCACGTCTTGCTCGCGTAAGCTGCTGCTTGGCCCTTCCCACGAGACGCGAAGCAGCAGGGAAGCAGCTGCCACCGACCGAGCACGAAGTCACACGAGTGACTTCGTCAGTAAACACAACAACAAGCAGGAGAAAATTACAACATGGTTTGTGTTTTATGTTCTGTCCGTTTTATAATCGCCAATACGGACCTGAAAAACAAAGGAGACCGCTAACTAGGTGATAACTTCTCACGGGGCCGCACAGTTAGTAACCTTTTTTAAAAGTAAAGCAACCGGAAATCAGTACGTTCTTTATTCTGAAAATCTCGGGAGCTTCTCTCCATTTCCGCGTTCGATTTCCTGTCTGTCCGTCCCCAAAAATGTCGAACTTGACCTGTTTCAGAGGCGTCGCGCGTAGAAAATAGAACCGGCGCGTAAAGGCCGCGACATGCTGCTCCTGAGACGCGGCCGACTCGCGCTGCTGACGGCTGCTGACGGCTCCAGTGGAAAAGGTTCTGTTGACCACAGCGGTTCCTATCAGCAGCTATGACGTGCAGCTGCAGTAACGTGCTGCTGATGGCTCCCGTGGAAAGCCGGGGTTAGGGTTACAAGAAATAACTTCTGGGTCGCTCCTTTTACGGGCTTCAGTTCTGTCCAACACTGCTGCTTTTTACCAGCCAGTGTCGAATTACAAATGTCGACGCAGACATTACAACCCCATGGGGTCCTAGGCAGTACAGACACTTGACTTTTTTTGTGATTATTTCATGGTAAAATTCTTACTTATTGCACCTTTTTAAGTCAGAAATCTTTTTCTTTTTTAATATTTTCAGTGGCCCTAATCCTCTTTATTTCTGTATGAAAGTGTCTTAAATGTTTCCTGACATTTTAATATTTTCAAGACTTGCATTTCTTCCATTTTTTTCTTTGCATATTTCAGAATAGTTTTGTATGGTTGATTATCTTTAACTGGATGTGCAGTATTACCAAGATGTCCAACAGTGACAGTGCAGTTGTACGAACTGCTGGCGGTGCAATTAGGTCACAGCAGCGATTGGACTTCCCGTCTGTCCCTCTGGACTGCAGTCTTCTTAATTTACAGAAACAGAAGCGTTCATTGTAAAGAGAAATGATACAGAGGTGCTGTGTTGCACATGAGGATCTTTGTAGTTGTGCAAAGTGTTAATTTTTTATATTTTTGTTACGTGCCTCAGTGGTTCTAAGGTTTCATTGCTACAAGCTCCACTGCTTTTCATTAACTTCTTAATCAGATGCAAATTTACATGTGGGACTCTAAGTAAATGCAATTAACTATTGGATGAAAGCAAGAAAGGGAGTAAAACATTGTCCGTTGGAGAAAAAGTAATTTTCAGTCGTTTTTTAAAAACTCATTAAATATAGATCTGTGGCATTACTTAAGGAAATGTGACCTTTAAATTCAAACTTTTAGACAGACATTTAAGTCATAGTTAAATTTCTCAATTTGTGCACATTTTCAATTTACATCAACAGGAAATTTACAATGAAAAAGAAAAAAAATTCTACAATGGAGAAACAAAAAATAATTTGCAATGTCAGATTTTTTTTATTTTACTCCCAAGAAACTAACAGAATTGACATTTAAAAAATCAATTTAATAGAGTGAAGAGTTCCTGAACAAGGCTCTTTCCCTTTCTCAACAGTGACTTGAGGAAGAAACAGTTAATTGATTTCTGTGGAGTGTCCCATGGGGCTCTCCGGGGCTTTCTGCAAGGATAAGGGGATTCAGCCAGCTGGAGTGGATTTCTGTCTGCGTCTCCATGTGTTTGTAAATGAATGTTCATTTTTTTCATACATCGTTGTTAATTTGTAGAGATTTCCCAAACTGCTTTAATCAAGAGGATCATTCATTATGTATATCATCTCTAGTTTAACCTGAAAATGTTCTTTAAAATTATAAGAAATGCAAAAATTCTAAGATTCCACACAATGGTAGAAATCTTATGGTTCTATGATGATATAAATAATGCAACTGATGCATTTTACTCGTGAAAATTAAAGAGTCTTAAATCATATTTGCTTCTGCAACACAAAATTGAGTTTCAAGGGTGAAACACAAAGAAATCATTTTAAAACAAGAGAGATGGATAAATAAAATAAACACGCGTATGAAATAGATGTACTTGAATGTTTGTGAGTAATGTTAGCTTGAAGTAAAATAATATGTGACCTCTAGAAAATTTACTCAAACATTTCCTGTCAAGTCTTTGGTTGTCATAGCTACAACAACATGTCCAAATAAGTTTTAATGCTTTCAAATATTCCCCTATAAAGCTGTAAGCCTGAAATTCACAAAATTATTTTATAACTCAAATTATCTTGAGAAAACTAACATTTTGCTTGGTTTGTATGATTTTTCACTATTGCAAATAATTTTATTGCAAAAAAAGTGTTTACAATTGCTTTTACAATTTTAGATTTTAAAGAGGTCCCTCACTGAGAAACAATTTTTTTTTTTTTTAATTATTTTTGAAAACGATCGGTCACTCTGAGTTTAACCTGCAGGCTGAACATGACATCTGGGTCATACCAGCCCTGGTAGGTTAAATTTGTTCACATCTGGGTAATCTGCGTTGTCCGTGCTCAGTCAACCGCATTTTTTTGGACCTGCTCTCTGGCGGTCAGCTTTGGGTAGAATCTACCCAACACACCCACTATCGACCGATTGGCCGGCTGAAGTTCATGCCGAGAGCCTCTGATGGATTAGAGTCAGCCAGCAGCGGCTTCCCGCATGTGTGACTGCTTCTCAGTCTGGATGCAGTGGGGTAAATATCTATTCTGACTGCAGCTCTGAGCTACCGCTCAGCCACGGCTGTGAGGAGCACACAGCAATCTCAGTGACCGAGTAGGACGCAGTGTGCTTCATATGAGTCTCCGAAAGCAACATGATCGCTTTTGTTTACTAATTGTTTACTAAGGAGAACACCACAAATTTCTTTGTGCATCTTTTGCCTCACCCACGTGTTCAGAGAGATCTGCGTTCCTGAGAAGGCTACGTGAACAAAACCTGGCCGTGCAGGAGCATGACGCTACCAAAACTGGACTGGGCCTGATGTGAAAAATTGTCTTCTACCCCTATCTCCTGCATTAGCTTCTCATAGAAAATAAACAGTGAAACTCTAGGATCTAAAAAGCCTGACAGATCTACATCACGCTGTCACTTAACAGTCATGGACTCACCCATCTTGACTCATGATAGGGAGGCTGTTGTTGTTTTAGCGTCCAGGAGAAGGCAGAGAACGTCTCGACTTGTAGAAATTAACCGTTAGCATTAGCAACTCCACCACACAGCAGAAGCGCCTCCAGGCTTGTGTTATTTGTGGAGTTAAAACATCAACGTTGCTGAGCAGATGGAGCCAGTGGTAGAATCACATCTGGTATAGCCAATTCGTGGTACGAAGTCCAAATATCAGGAAATAAGTCTCCAAATCATGTCGTCTGAAGCTACTTTCTCCTCTGGTTGAAATTCCATTCTGAAACACTGGAGCTCCCCCCCCCCCCCCCCCCCCCCCCCCCGAGTACGAACTACAAGGTAACCATTCCTACTAAAGACCACTGTAAATGTATTAGACATATGATAAATGACTCGTACTTATATAGGGCCTTTCAGAGTCAGAGGACTCCAAAGCGCTTTACACTACAGTGTATTATTCATCCATTCACACACACTGACGATGATGAGCTACAATGTAGCCGCAGCTGCCCTGGGGTGCACTGACAGAGGCGAGGCTGCTTAGCGCAGGCGCCATCGATCTCTCCGACCACCACCAGCAGGCAAGGTGAGTGAAGGACCTCTTTATTAAAGAACAAATGTGAATGAGGGTTTGCTAAAATTTAGCCAAAACTAACCTTACATGACTCAACAATTATGATTAAAATTTCTAAAACTAAAAACATGGCCTCTGGTGATGCAAAACTATATTTATTCACATGTTGGCTTTCCACAAATTTGAATGCCACACATCACATTTGCAAAGGCTATCAATTAAGTGATTAATAATCAAGTTTAATCTTCACACATATTTATTTATCTTTAATAAGTCTCTTAAAACATAATTACTTTAATGAGTGATGACTACCATTACCAGCGGGGCAGCATATGTGTTTATTAATAAGGCAAAACAAAGGCACAAAGCACAGAGTATAGGAACCTATAGGTGCGTTTATATGGAATATTTCCCTTTTCTGATGTGTGAACGTCTGAATGGAAATGCTGTCGAGTTTTCCTTGATTGCAGAGGAAAGAAAGCATTTTTGGTTTCCCTCAAACAGCTGTGTTGCTTAGCTGCCTGATGGAGCAGCCTCATTAGGCTACATTTCAGACTTTGTCAGTACTGACATTGCATAACTCAGAATACCGAGCACTGTGTCACAGTGATTTATGATCAATGCTCTTCACTGTACCCTTGGGTGCTTTATTCTATTGATAACTTTGGGTTTTGATGACTAAATCAAAATAAACAGACACCATCCGGAGGGGCTTAGTATACGGTGGTTTTACACCTCGGAGGGACTTTCAATTCAAAGGGTGGTTTGTGAGGAGGTGCTACCAAAATAAAATCCAGAATGAAAGGCTGCATCCAGTGATTAACCACAAAAATCAGGGAAACAACATCACACGTGAACAAGTGTGACGCTTTTCCAAATGTGGCTCCGCCGCCCTGGCGTCTCCCTTCGCAGTTTCATGATCCTGACTGGATGAAAGTGGCGCAGAGAGACGCAAAGATGCAAATTTTCCTTACCTTTGGATACTGTTGGATTGGAATAAGAACTCTCTCAGAGAGCTTGATATTTTTATTGCTGATGATATCCAGGTATTTCTTTGTGTCGCCGTCTTTTTTCACTTCGTCAGCATCATACTTCTCAATCTCTGCAGAAAAAGAAGAAGCGTATCAGGTCAAATGGTTGATTTCACAAATCACTCGAATAGCGATTAAACTTTGTAAAGTTCTTAAGGTATGCTCACTTGGCTTACTTAATGATGTGAGATTATCCAGTTAACTTTTAATATGTTCTCACATTAAGCTGTAGTCTCATGAACGAGTAATTCCAGCCAGCATAAGAGGAGCAGGAGCACTCAACCTGCTGTGAGAGCTTCTGCAATCCAAACAAAGAGCTTCTGGGTTTTTAAAAGCCTATGATCAAGATACAGCCATGAACCTCCTCAGATGTAAACAAAAACAGTCTTTATCACTACACTCTAAAAAACAGTGTTGAATTTACTTAAATATATCAACTGGTTCCACTAAACCTAGAGCAAGTCAGCCCCTACCAGTCTTATTCCACTCCCACTTCATGTTTGAAAAATGCAACAAATGCTGTTACCTGGCAGACTGAGAGCTGCTAAGAAATACACACACAAAGGCTCACAACAGCATTGCGACATGTTATGTACCAGCTAATAGGGATGTCACGATTCGATCACATGATCGGAAATCAGCCCCGATCTCATGGTTTCAGACTGATCGTGACTCGGGCTTTACTTCCCGATCCAAGCCCCGATCCGGAGTTGGATACTGGGTTCAAATTACAGGAGAGCAACTTGGTTCTCCTCAAAGGTTGTCAGGCTCCCCTGATGTCCTTAACTTACACACCCAGAAGGAGCACAAAAGAGATCCAGTTTCTACCTATATTATATTATTTATATGGACTCAGCATAGCGGGGATTCTTTTGAGCAGAGATGCAGGCAGACCGCTGATTATTCATGAACTCCAGCTGCGTTCTGCACACGGCCACAGTAACATTTTCTAAGTTTCTAAGTGGCGCCACCAAAAAATATACAATTAACACACAGTCATTCGTGTCCGTTCATTTCCTCTCTGGTGGTTCTGTTTGTATTCAAGCATGACGAGTGGATGCGCTGCAGCGCTCGTCACTGGCACAGCCGGGCAGCGCGGCGCACACTCCGCTTTTTTTGCGTTCAATAGATCAATTTGATCTGCTAGTTAAAAAGTAACTTGTGAGGTGAAAAAGAAGGAAGCAGGCAGGAGTTTTTCTGGAGGACTGGGAGATGCAGGAAGATCAGAGGCAGACAGGAACAGGAAGATGGGAAAATTAAAACCAAGAAAACAAAACAAAGTTCTTCAAAGATAAAATGTAGGTAGATCTATCCCACTATCCATTTGTACCTGTATAAAGCAATAATTTATCAGCATGTAGTATTTATATAGTTGATACAATTCAGATCGTCTTCAAAACTCCGTCCCATGCCCAGGGATGTATCTAAGCATTTTGGGGGCCGAGGCAAAATAGACCCCTGCCAGGTATTGAAGTGCTATCTGTTTTCATATTAGACTTTTTATATTTGCAATAAAGTCCAAAAGTGAAGAATTTGTTATTTATTACTTGATTGTTCAAGCTACCTCACAGAAGTGATCTGTTGTTAAAAATGAAAATTAAAAAGGTCATTGAATAAAAAATAAGGAACATTCTGGAACTGTTTCTTCCTTTTTTTTTTTTTTTTTTTTAATGTATCGAAAGTATCGGACCGGGACTCAGTATTGGCAGATTCTCAAAATCAAATGACTCGGACTCGAGGGCAAAAAACCTGATCGGAACATCCCTACCAGCTAACATCATAGTGGACCTCTTAGCCAATTATTGACTACACGTGTCTGCAGCACGATTGGACACTCATTTATACAGTTTATCAACAAAATAAAAGTTGATTTGGGGGCGACTTGCTCTTAAATTCATACTTTTTGCTTGCTTTTAGCACCCCCTAGTGTTTGTTTAGTAGAACCAAAAGTGAAACTTATCTCCTCGCTGTGCGTTCTTTTTTTAACAACTTAATTTAACAGCTGTAATAACTCCCCAGCCCACATGAGTGTCTACAGGAGCTGTTCATCACAAAATTAAATGAATAAGCTGGGTTTACAATTTAAAACATGCAGGAAATGTGCTGGAAGCAGACAGCAGACTGCAGCAACAGGCATGTCAGCTCAATTTTTTTCTCTACCGCCACTCTGAAGTTGCAAATGCAATATCCTGTCTACAAGGGACACTAGTGTCTGAGTGACATTTCATTCACTCTGTAAAGGATCATTTTACCACATACTGGCTCAAGAAAATTATTAAAAATATGGAAAAGTTGCAAAGTATCCCTTTAAAGAGTAACATAAATTGTTATATGTTATATAAAAAGTAATTGTTTATCATTCTTTACATTTAATTTCATTAAGTAAAGTCAACATGTTTTTTAGAGTGTACGTCTTTAAGGTTAGTTAAAATTTACCAGTATTTTTTATTTATTTATTAACCTTTTTAAAGACACTGAGCTGAACGAAAAAAATTTAAATTAGCTATAAAAGGTAGCTATATCATTGGCTTTATCATTTAATTAAATTGATTTTTAATCACTTTTACTACCATTGGTTTACTAGCTCATTGAAAAAAAAATATTTTATAGCACCTGAGCCACAAGCCCTCAAACTTCTAAAACAAAAGTGCTTCCTGTTTATTTAGTGAAAAATTCTCTTTTGACACTAATTATTGATATTTTCCATCCCGTTTGAGGGGAAGTTACTGATAGACCCAATAAACAGGACAACAAGTTAATCACTTCAGAGCTTCTAAAGTCAAACTCATTTAGGCTGTCACTCTTCATTGGACTAAACCTACAGTAATTAGGCCTTTTTGCGTGTAAATCAATCCTCACACATTATTTTGTAGTTCAAAACTAAACCCTCTGATTGGATGTTTAGTTTGGGATGAAGCTGTCAGCTTATGATCAGTCTGAGGTATGCAGACAGAGAGAATCTGGACCTGTAGGAGTGTAAATGCTCAGTTGTTTACACATCTCTTTTTTTTTCATTGTAACAGTAAACAGATGTTTGCCAAATATAAAATTAAAAGTGTATATTTTTACGCCTTTTGTGTAACTTCATGTTTTTTTTAACAAATGCTGTCCACACATGCAGATATCTGAATTTCTCCAGCGCATTTATTCTCAACAGTCGAAAAAACTTAATTTACAACTTTTACACAAAGTGTGTGACTCGACGTAGCTTCTTATGCACGCCACATAATTATTTTTCCCTCTCCAGTATGAGCTTGGAACTTCTTTGGTGACTTTCTATTTTTCTCTCTACACTTACTGAGCAGCGTTTAAGGAAGAAGCTAATTTAGTTTGCATACATCTGTCTTGAAAATTTATTTTTTTCTTCTCAAAAAACCAGAACTCATCATCAATACTCACCCTAGAGTATTCTGTTGTTACAAAAATAATATTATTTGTATTTGGTTTTAAAGTTTGACCTTCTCGACAACTAAAGGTAAAATCATCTCACATCTGTAACATTATAAACATAGATTTTTGCTAAAAATGATCTTTATATGAAATCTCTGACTGAATTTGATTTTCTAAACAAAAACCAGGTGTCGGCTTAGTCTACACCCCACAAACAACCTGAATGTAATACTGTAAGTTCTCCCGCATACCCTGTACCTTCCATGAAAGTACCCAGTACCGTAAGTATTGTGTACATACCCAGAAAGTAGCCAGAAGCCCCCCTTGGAGCTTTGTGTCTTATAGACACCATTTACATACCACATATGAGAAAACATCCTTCAAAAAAATTTAGATTTGTTTTATAATTGTAAAGTTTATTTAAAAACTGTAACAGAGAACAAAACATAGTCTGCATTTAACAAAAGCAAATGAAATATAACCTATTGTAGAATTATACCTGACAACCTAAACTAAATGTCTACCTAAACCATTCAGCACTGGGTTTGACATTTGAATTAAAGGTGCAATATTTTAGAATGAAGTAACAATGACATCCTGTGGTGAAATTTGATCACTGCAGGACATTTTTCTAAGCAAAAAGTTACTCCCTCTCACTTCCGTTCTGTCAGTTTCGTGGCTATTGCCAGTTACGGATCAGCACCAGAAGATTCTAGATGAAGATGAATCATACACAGTACGTTAATAAGTAGAAAAGTAAATGAATACATTGTCACATCTGGTGCTAGCAGTGGGTGTTTTGCAGTAGAGTGCACTTAATACACTCATTGCAATAATATCCCGCCGGCATTATAGGAAGTGTTTTTGTGTGTTTTTATAGTTCAAACGACTCATTTAGGAAGTAAAACACCACAATTGACTCATTATTCACTTCACACAGTCAGTGCAGTAACACTGATCAACATCTAGGTCAATCTTATGGTAACAAGCTGGGAATCTTATCCTAGTTTACTTGCGCATTAGAAAATCGATCTCTCAAATGAAGTTCCTTCCACTCCAGTACGGTAGGTGGCAACATGCGGTAACATGTCGGCATTCTTTTAGCTTAAAGCAACACAAATGATAAACAAACGCTAGCGGGAGTGAAGCAGATTAAACTGAAACAGGATATACGCAATGGCAGAAGAAATGGACAACAATGCTGCAGCACAGCTTATATACTGTACTGTTTGATAGTGTGCACATGTTACTTTATGGTGATGATATAATCAGCAGACAGCTCCCACTGTCTCGTCACTTCCGGAATGCGAGCGTCCAACCGGTTCAGTTCGGTTAACCAATTTACATACAGATCGTATTTGGATCGCTACGGCATTATTTGGTTCCTTCAGCTCGATTAAAACTAGTTCCCCATCAGCCAGACTAACGCATTTACTGTACATGCATTAAAAAAAATGACGTCAGTCTTTTTAGGGCAAAACTTCAGTTTTCTGATGCACATGTAAACGCATTGACTGTAATATTGAGTGGTTGGTAATTGAAAAAGTAACTTTAGGTATTTTTAGATTCAACTATTGCTTATAATTCACCGTTAGCATTGCTAGTTCGATGCTAGCATTTAGCCTGCTCCCGCGATATTAGAATAAAACATAACAATGCCATGGCTTCTTAGGGCTACAAG